AAAAAAAAAAAAAAAAAAAAAAAAAAAAAAAAAAAAAAAAGCCAGGTGTAGTGGTGCATGCCAGTAGTCCTCGCTACTAGGAAGACTCAGGTGGGAGGATCACTTAAATCCAGGAGGTAAAGGTTGCAGTGAGCCAAGATCACACATTGCACTCCACAGAGTGAGACTCCATTGAAAAAAAAAAAGAAAAAAAAAGAAAAGAAAAAGAGAGAAAAAAAAAGTTGTATATTATTACTTGAAGGTAGACTGAAGTAGGCTAATGTTTGCCCTCACCCATAAAGCAAAATGTAAAATAACACTAATCAGAATTGTAGCTAATAACCAATAGAAAAGGAAAAACACAATCATAAAAAAAGTGCTTAATGTAAAAGAAGGCAAAAAAAGAAAACATATGAACAAAGATCCAAAGGAATAAGCAAAAGTCAAATAAAAATGGAGTAATTTTAAAATTTTCTAAATCAAAAATTACATTACATACAAATGACATAAATATCACAATTAAGAACCAGAGCCAAAGCTGGAGCACAGGTCATAGCAGAGGCCGGGGCTTGTGAGGCCCCCATAGGCCGAGCTCAGACCAGCGGAATAGCGGCTGGTGGTCTTCGTACGGATACTCATGTTCTGCATCCCAGACTGCAGCCGGCTCTCCTCACCCTCCAGCAGCTTCCTGTAGGTGGCGATCTCGATGATCAGGGCCAGCTTGACGTTCATCAGCTCCTGGTACTCACGCAGCTGCCGCGCCATGGCCTGCTTGGCCTGCTGCAGGGCAGCCTCCAGCTCAGACAGCTTGGCGTTGGCATCCTTAACCTCCAGCTCCCCATGCTGCTCGGCATCTGCGATGCCGGCCTCCAGGGAAGCCCTTTAGCCTTTGAGGCCCTCAATCTCAGCCTGGAGCCGGCGGATGTTGCGGTTCACCTCGGACATCTCAGTCTTTGTAGCCGCAGGTCATCCCCGTGCTTCCCAGCCAGCGTCTGCAGCTCCTCATACTTATCTGTTGCATGCTCTCTGCGTCAGCGCGGCTGCGGTTGGCGATCTCCTCGTACTGCTCCTTGATCTCAGCGGTGATGTTGTCCATGTCCAGGGAGCGGTGTCTGAGATCTGGGACTGCAGCTCCAGGGTCTCCTCTTCCTACAGCTGCCTGAGGAAGTTGATCTCGTCAGTCAGCCCTTCCAGGCGAGACTCCAGCTCTACCTTGTTCATGTAAGCTTCATCCACATCCTTTTTGATGAGGACAAATGCATACTCCATCTCCACTGGCTTATTGATCTCATCCTGTACTTGTTCTTGAAGTCTCCCACCAGCCCCTGCATGTTACAAAGCTCCACCTCCAGTTTCAGCTTCTTTTGGTCCAGAGTCTCCAGCTGCCGCCTAAGGTTGTTGCTGTAGCTCTCGAAAATGTTGTCCATGTTGCTCGGAGCCATCTGCTGCTGCTGCAGGAGGCTCCACTTGGTCTCCAGCATCTTGTGCTGCTGCTTCAGGAACCCTACCTTGTCGATGAAGGAGGCAAACTTGTTGTTGAAGGTCTTGATACGATCCTTCTCCTGGGTGCACATGGCCTGGATGTTGGGGTCCACTTCAAGGTTAAGGGGGCTCAGCAGGCTCTGGTTGACCATGACGGCAGTGATGCCTCCCATGCTACTGGTCCCACCATGGCCTCTGCCTAGGCCAGCCCAGAAGCTGCTGCTGCCCACTTAGGAGAAGCTCGAGGAGTTAATGCAGGCACCCAGCCCACTCTTGTGGGAGAAGCTGCTGAAGGCCTGGGGGCCAGAGGTGGACACCTTGTAGGACTTCTGGGTCACCCTAAGGGACATGGTAGGGTGGAGTGGGGAGGAGTGGAGGCAGGCAGGCTGAATCAGGTGGAGATTCTAAAAGTAACAGAGAAGCAGCTTCTTGGTCGTAATTACCAGTTAATTCTCAGGCCACTTTAACTCTTAAACCAAAACCAAACAAAAATTGTTACAAAAAAGGAAAACTATAAACAGTACCCAGAAGCATACCTCGAAAAGTTTTTTAAAAAATTATAGCAAAAGACTCCAAAATGTATAAAAAGAATAATATATCATCACAAACTAGAGTTTATTTCAGGAATGGTTGGGTTATCATTCAATATTCAATCAATTTAATTCCTTATATAATATGTGTGTGTGTGTGTCTGAGATCTGGGACTGCAGTTCCTGGATCTCGGACACACACATATATATGGGTGCATATAATGCATATACATGAACACATATATTCACACATATATATGAGTGTGTGTATGTGTATATTATATTATTTATATATATTATATATAATACATCTATATATATAGATGTGTGTGTGTATGAGTGTGTGTATATATGTATATGTGACATACACACACCACACACACTCATATATACACACAAAAAAAATTCTAGTGGAACTAATAGGTGACTTTAGCAATGTTTTAGCAAACAATGTCAACAAACAAATCATTAGCAATCAGAAAATTAAATTTTTTAAAAGATATTTTGTATAATAGAATCCAAAATATAAAGCACTCAGAAATGCATGGGCAAAAGAACTGCAAAGATTGTACAATGAAAACGGCAAAACTTATTGAAGTAAATTAAAGCCCTAAATAAATGGAAAATTATGCCATTTTCATAGACCAGAAGGCTCAGTATTAAAAACATGTCAATTCTTCATAAATTGAGCTATATATTCAAAGCAATCTTGATGAAATTCCATCAAATCTTTTTGGGTAAAACTTGGAAAGTTGATTCTAAAAATTTCATAGAAATACAAAATATCCATAAATTTTTAAAGCTAAATAACTTAAAAAATAATAAAATTGGAGGTCCTATACTGACTTCAAGTTATATTATGTATTCTACACTATCAATGTACTATGGTATTGCTATTGATAGACAAATGATAGATAGAACAGAAGAGGATCCAGTAAAAGACCCACAGCTATACAGCCAATTGTCTTTAGAAAAAAGGCAAAAACAATTCAGTGGAAGAAAAATTTTCTGCTTAACAAATAATTCTAGAACGATTAGATGCATGAGTGTATTAGTTTGCTAGGTTAGCCATAACAAATTACCACATATTGGATGGCTTATTAAACAGAAATTTCTTGTCTAAGAGTTCTGGATGCTAGAGTCTGAATCAAGGTGTCAGCAGGGTTTGTTCCTTCTAAGGACTGTGAGAGTCTATTTCACGTCTCTCTCCTATCTTTTGGTGGTTTGTTGGCAATCTTTGGCATTCCTTGGCATTACCTCCAACATTGCCTTTATGTCCACATAGTCCTCTGTGTGTGTGTGTGTGTGTCTCTGTGTTTAAATTTCCTGTTTTTATAAGGTTGCCAGTCACATTAATAACCTGTTAGTCATTCTAATAATCTTGTCTTTACTTGATCATCTGCAAAGACCCTGTATTCAAATAAGGTCATTTTCACAGGTACCACAAATAATGAGGATTAGGACTTCAACATATTTAGAAGGGATACAATTCAACCTGTAACAATGTGCAGAAAAATGAACTTTGATGCATATACAAAATAGACTCAAATGGATATACAAAAATGGACTCAAATGGATCAGAGATCTCAATGTAAAACCCAAAAGTATAAAACTTCCAAAAGTATAGAGAAAATTATTGTGACGTTGGCTTAAGCAAAGATTCTTAAATATAACACCAAAAGCACTATTCAGAAAAGAAAAAACTACACTTCATCAAAATTAACAACGTTTGCTCTTCAAAATTGTTAAAAGACTGAAAAAAAATGTCAAGTCAAAGACATGGAAAAAAATATTTGCTAGTTATATATCTAAAACAAGACTTATCCAGAATAGATAAACTACTCTCAAAACTTAATATGAAACCAAATAACCCAATTAAAAATGGCCAATTATTTAACACACACTTCACTAAAACAGATATATTGATGACAAGCACATGAAAAGATGCTTAGCATCATTATTTCCAAGGAAAATGCAAATTAAAACCACCATGAAATACTAATATACACCTATTGAAATGTCTAAAATTAAAAAGTCCTATCATTTCAGCTGTGCATCTGGAACATGTGAAACTGTCATATATTGCTGGAGGGAATACAAAATGGTACAATCACTTTAGAAAACTGTTTGGCAGCTTCTTTAAAAATGAAGTGTATGCCTGCCATGTGATTTTACCTTTATCTAAAGGTATTTTCCAAAAGAAATGAAAGCATATTTCCATACAAAGACTTGTACACAAATGTTCTTTTCAGCTTTATTTGTAAAAACCAAAGACTGGAAACAACTCAAATGTCAGTGAACCAGTGGATAAATAAATTGTAGTGCATCTATAAAGCAGAATACTACTAAACTATAAAAAGAAATGAATTATTGGTACTGTTATTAGTCTGTTTTCATACTGCTATAAAGATACTACCTCAGACTAGGTAATTTTTAAAGGAAAGAGTTTTAATTGACTCACAGTTCTGCAAGGCTAGGGATGTCTCAGGAAACTTAACAGTCATAGTGGAAGGCAAAGAAGAAGCAGGTACGTTCTTCAGAAGGTGGCAGAAAAGAGAGAAAAGCCCAGGGGAAACTGCCACTTATAAAACCATCAAATCTTATGAGAACTCACTCACTATCATGAGAACAGCATGGGGGACACTGACTCCATGATCCAATTACCTCCTACCAGATCTCTCCCTGGACATGTGGGGATTATGGGTATTACAATTTGAGATGAGATTTGGATGGGGACACAGCCAAACCATGTCAGGTACATACAATAATATGAATAGATCATGAGTGAAATAAACCAGGTTACCCTATGTCTCCATTTATATAAAATTCCAGAAAATGCAAACTCACCTATTATGCTAGAAAGTGGCTACATAGTTGCCTGAGAATGGGGTTTCAGAGAAGAGTGAGAAAAAGGGATTACTGAGAAGTGTAAGAAAACTATTGGGAGCTAAAGTTTATGTTTATTATCTTGATTGTGGTGGTGGTTTAATGGGTTGCATGTATATTAAACTATCAAACCATACATTTCAAGTGAGTTCATTGTGTAAATTATACCTCACTAAAACTGTTAACAAACAAACAAAACAGAGTTTCCGACTATAAGGGGTCAAAATGATACCTCAAAATATGGTACTTTGACATGCTGAACTAAAGAAGCAGCCTCAAGATCTCTCTGACTTCCCGCACCTCTTTTCCTCCTGTTTCTGAACCCTCTGTTTCTCCCCAAGCACAGGATATGCTTGAAATATCCCTTATCTGAAATTCTCTTATCTACCTCAAAACTGCACCTGCCAAAGAGGAACACAAATGCCTTTGATCCCATCCCTAAAATTTCATTATCCAGAGAAGGTTAAATTTAATACCACAGAGAACAAGACTGAACACTAAACAGCACATCTAGAGCTCAAACTATTGTTTGTTTTCATGTCTTATTCACTTTGCAAAGAGAATTATTTGCAAGCTGATTTCTGTCTCCTGCGGCCATTCATCTCTCCTAAAATCCTTTACTAATGTTCTAAAATTGCCTATAGCCCTCCAATTTTGTCTCAGTTCTGAAGAGGGTGTTTAAGCTTCCACCATTCATCCAACAGCCTTCTTGGAGTCTCATATTGTGTGTATGGCTCCCACATGTGTGCTCATTAATGAATTGTATGCTTTTCTCCTGTTACTCAGTTTATTGTTAATTCATTTAAAAGGATTTATACTTGAACCTTCAGAGGTACACTTTGAATTTCCCTACAAGACTGGAGTAGTTATGCTTTAGTTTAAATCTCTGCTCTTTCTCTGCTAGCTGTGTGACCTGAAAAATTATTTAAACTTTTTGTGTCTCAGTTTTCTTGTCCTCAATGTGGTTAATACTCAACGTACTTAATTAGGCTTTTTGAAGCTTAAATAAATTACTACATGCAATCTGCTCAGCACAGTGCCTAGTAAATAATAAATTTTAATAAATATTATTGTTTCCATTGGTATCATCATCAGCCTCAGCAGCACCAGCAGCCTGGATTCAGAGTATACAACTCCAAAAACAAGGAATTTTCTCTTTTTTCCAACTGTGACAAGAATTATAAGTGTTATAATTATAATAATTTACAACATTATTTCTTCTAGTCCCTGTAACTTGATTAAAATGTTGTGTTATCAATGCAACCCAAGTTTAGTCCTATTTGATTTGAAACTGAGAGAGCATAAGGGAGTTCTTTCAGATCTCACACAACCAGGCCAACAAGTAAAAAAATGGGCTATGGTGTTGGCTAACCTGATCAGTCCTGGCAATCAAAGGAAAATAAGGTAATTACATTAAAATAAATTAAGGGATTAGAAAAAAAGAAAAAGGTAAATTGGTGTACCATAAGTTGTCTTCTTCTACCACCCAGGCTGATGGTAGAAGTTGTTGGGAGACTCTTGGAACAAAATCAACGAAATGAGTAAGGACTAAATATTTTCAGGAAAAGAGGTTTTGGATACGACATTGGCAATCAAAGGCAAGAACAACAAACAGAAGTGGAAAATGAAGTGATAAATATCATTTAATAGTTTTATGTTAAGTTTTGGAAGCAAAGAATTGAGTTCCAATCATATTCCTTCATTCTGCAGAACAAATTTATCGAAGTAGCACATATAACACACATATGGTTAAAAGAAGTACATATATTAAATGTGCAGATTGATGTAATCTAAAAAATTAAACACATCTGCATAATCATGAGAAGGTCAAGATGCAGAATTTTATCAGCACCCCAGAAGTCTCCCGTGGCTCCTATTCAATGAACCCTGTCAATTTTAATTATCCTTCCAATTTTAATCACTTTAGATTAGTT